TGAATATTACGTGTAATGTTTTATTAATGTATTTAATTATGTGATGTAAATTTTATCTTAAGGAGTTATATACGTAATGTCTTGTTAAAGTTTTAAGAATATCATAAGAGAACTACTTAGAATTTAGGGTATGTCGGCGTAACACGTTTCGTTTAGTACTCTACTTGGGTAGTAGAAATATGACTAGGGCGGGGCGTTATAGGTTTCATCGGTGACCTAGTATAGACTATGTTAAAACCTTTAGTCTAGTCATCAAACCGGTTTCAAGTCATCTAGTCTTGTCTTTAATAGTCTTCTTTGGCTAGTATATAAGGTAGTTGGATGTGTTCAATACCTTTCTCCATGTCATATTAGACAAAGATGTATTCATGGAGCAACCACTAGGTTTTTAGGATATTTCCAAACTAGGGTATGTTTACAAAATTTAAAATCATTATATGGTTTAAAATAAGCTCTTCGAACGTGGTTTAAGTGTCTTATAGATATTCGACTTCAATTAGGTTTAAAAGATGCAAAATGGATTGCTCTCTATACATCTCCACTTTAGAATCCGTTAAAATTTATTATCTCATATATGTTGACGACATCATCTTGATCGATAACGATCTTGGTCGTGTCACTATAGTCGTAAGCGAGGTTTAAGCATAACTTTATCTTGAAGGATCTTTGGCCACTTCACTATTTCTTAGGCATTGAAGTGTCTTGGAAATCTTTAGGAATATTTCTCTCTCAAAAGAAATATATAAATGATTTACTAGCTAGAAACTATTCATACTTACCGTTCAACCACCAAATTACAGCTAATAGGTTCTAAATTCTCAAATTCTCACTAATACATAAGCATTGTGAGTGCTCTTTAATACTCGTGTATATCACAAGATCGGACATCTCTTTTGGGGTAAATCGTGTTTCTCAATACATGTATATTCCAATAGAAGATCATTGGAAAACTATTAAGAGAATTCTCATCTATCCGTAACACACATCAAGTTATGATCTCTCACTTCATAGAAATCCTTCTTATCGTATCTCTCTTATAGTGATTATGATTGGAAAGGTTGTCCCGATGATCGAAAGTCCACTACAAGTTTTGCAATGTATGTTAGCTCCAGTCTAGTTTCATGGTGCTTTCGAAAACAATGAACTATGGCAAGGTCCTCTATCGAATTATTATCTAGAGCTCTAGCCACAACTGCATCTAAAGTCTTACGGCTTTGCTTCTTCATTCGTGAGTTAGGCTTCACTTTACCAAAATCCTTAGTCTTATGGTGCGACAACATTAGTGCCACCAACCTCATTACTAACCTTGTCTTCTACTCTCGAAGTAAGCACCTAGAAATAGATTTTCACTTTGTGAATCATAAGTCAACAATGTGTGGAAAAGCCGTCAACTTGAGGAGGAGTGATAAGAATACTCGTTTTTGAAAGTTGAATTCAAACACAAGAACGTTAGGATCTTAGGACTTTATCTTATATTTGAAATGGAGTTTGAAATAGAGGTAGAGTGATGTACCAACTCTACCATCTCACCTATGTATGTATCCTCTAACATGTACACAAATGAAAATATAGAAGGCATTCTCACAAAATCAACATGTGAAATAACTTTATGTGAAGACTACAGGAAATTAAAAGGGTATTATTAATGAAGGAGTAACAAGAATGCAACTAAATAAATTTATGGAATAAATTTTCACATACAACAATTGTTGAATTTTATACCTTACTAGTGAGGTCAACTTATTATCCAATAACTATTTATAAGATGGTGTTGACAAAGTTAAAATATATTGAGAAAGGGCAAAGGAATATAAATGTGAGAGAGAGAGAGAGAGATTTTGATTTTAAAATGGAATTAATTGACTGTTTGTCAATTAATACAAATTAAAATATACATAGCAAGTCGAACAGTATCCTCTTTTTAATTTTTTAAAGTGAACTATCTGTATAAAATATTTAAATGATTGAATTTAAGTAAAGTTAGCTTTGCAATTATAAGCATTTTTATTAATCAATGTCGCTTTTACAAAATTTTAAGTGAATTCGACTTTGTATTTTTTTCTTTATTGATTAAATTTAATATTTGATTTTTTTTCATTCTTTATTTTATTTTTAAAGGGTAATATTTTTATTTTTTAAAAAAATGAATGACATAAAAAATTCATTAAGGAAATTAATTGATAAAATATTCTCTCCAGGTGAAAGGATTTGATTAATGGATGGATACAATGCAAAAGACCTAATTAATCCTAGCTAGTAAACAAATTAAGTATTGAAAAGACACTGACACTGCTGGACCATATATAAACTTATTAAGAGCGGAAAATATAAACGAAACTAACTCTTAATAAGTTCTTGATCGAAGAATATCACTGTAGATGGTCCCAAAAGCTGGACAAACTTAGACTTTATTATCGCGATGATCGAACTATATTGTATTAATTAACACTGCCGTCATAGCAATATATTTTCTTAAATTCTTTTGCTTTCCTTATTTTTTATAACAAATAATTATTATTAATAGCGAATTGATTTGCCCTGTGAGCAAAAACATCATGTGCCACCCAAATCCATCTGTAACCTTCTCTACACACAGGCAGGCATAAACAGGTTTTGAGATCTCCACTAGTTTTTAAACAACGTATTTATGCACGATAAATTGTCCAACGCACAGAAACAGTCTCGAGAATATGCGTTAAGCAGCACATTGCATTTTCAACTTCTAATTTTTTACAGCTGTTTGGAGCTGCTTGTACGTGGTTTGCCTTTAATCAAGCATGGAAACTCTCAAGAGAATTCAGTAGACAATTACTGTAATTAGTTATCAAAATTTGGAAAACCAAACCTAGAGTACTAGCTAGGTAGGGTATGGCCTCGTGGGAAAATTTGATGTAACAAAAGGAAAACAATTTGGATACAACTAGCTAGCTAGCTTTGTAGCCTTTCTTTATTTTATTATACGCACCCAATTACCTTGATCGTATGAATTTCAAAACTATAATCAGTGGTGTTAACACACACACATATATATATATTGTAGTTGTCAATAAAGTTTTGTACAAAAAGAAGCGTCAAGAAATGTCAACAAAGTGCGATCAAAAGACTAAACGAAGTAGAACAAGTCTTTTTAAATCCCATTTCTCTCTTTTCCTTTTTAAACTTTGATACAAAAGACCTTAGTTTGATGGTCCAATACGGCTGTTAAGCAACACTCAAACACAAACACCTTCCTTTAAAGCATCTTTACTGGATGATCCGTATCCACTTTTGGATGCCCCATCACCCACCACTTTTTTCACCCTTCTACGAATAGACGGGCGTAACATCATATATATATATATATATGTTCTACTACAACGCACATGCATTTTCATGTCACGTGCGATACCTCCCCAAAAAGGACAAAGGTTTGAAGAAGGGGAATAGCTAAGGATACCCCTTTGTTTTTGTTATAAGAAATTAAAAAAAAAAAAAAACCTAGGGTTAGGGTTTGTTTTTCGTAGGAGACGAAATCATTGCACGACAAAGATATTCTAAGAATACTATATTCCTACTTTATATAAAATGGACCTTTCTTAACGTATATGCTTTCATCTCTGTCTCTTCAGAGTTTCTCTGTGTTAGACATTAAATAACCTCAATGAAAAATACACGAACAACAAGCCAAGAAAAGCAAAAGAAAAAACCCAGTAGAAATGTGTAGTCAAACTTTTTAAGTCTAAACTTTACATTGACAATACATACGACTAACAAAGACAAATAAAGAAAAAAGAAGAAGAAGAAGGAAATGTGGGTTTGTTTAGCTACCAGCCAAGACTCTATCTTTATGGGGTTATGGCTGGAAGAAGAAAAATTAAGATGGATTGGAATTAGTGAAAACAGGGATGCATGTATTATAAGGAAAGAGAAGATGGGATCCAAAGGGAGGTTTGAAGAAGGTGATCAGATACTTAAAGTAGAAAAAGCAAAGGTTTCTGGACCTCAGAACAAGTATAGAAGCCTTGATAGAAACATTTCAAACCACATTTTTAGTCAGTTTCTCTTACATTTCGCTTTCATCGAATAGGCCGCTCATTTTGTTTTTTTGTTTTTGTTGTTTCTTAATTTTTAATCCCCATACTCCTGCATTACATCTGTTATTTTGTAATTCTATTGCCCTTGAGTACCGAACAGTTCATAGAAACGAGAAATAGAGATTATAACCTCCATATCTAACGAGAAATGATGACCTTCTTTTCTAAATTAATCATAGTATTATCTATATCTTCCTTTTATATTGACAAATAATTATAGGGATAATGATAACAGTTATAATGACAAGGCTAATTAGATTTTGAGGAAAAAATGAATGAGTCATAATTAATCATATTGTCCTCAGCTGCCCTTTCTTACTTTTGTTTTTATCCCCATCTATCAGCTTGTGAGTGTTTTGGAAGTATTTTTCAAGACACAGTTGTACGTAGCGTACATTAATGGGACTAATCAGAGAAAGCCCTAGAGCTAGCGTGTCAATGAACCAGACTGAAACCTTACAGCTTTTTTTCAAAAGAACCTAAAAGGAAAGACATCAAACTCTCTCTGTTCCTTGCATTATTTATTGAAACTGAACCATACAGACGTCGAATTCAGAAAGAGAAGGAGAGAGCAATAAATTGCGAACAATCAAAATGAAAGGACATCTCTTTAGAAATGATCATGGAGTTGTGATTTTTTAAACTTGATTTGATTTGATCTTCACTCTAACCAAAACCCACCTGCATTCATGGCTGTGGGGATAAAAGATAATACCCGGCACAAAAGTTATATACAAGGTCACAAAAACCCACAAGCACGCACACACATGTTTCATCATCAACACTAGCTAGCTAGTTGCTACTATTAATTATCTCAGACTCTCTTCAGACTTAAAAGAAGACCATGACAATTAAACAAAAGAATCTAAGCAAAGATATCAATATAAAAAACCAAAAAGCTCAGATCTTTAAATGGATTTGAAGATACTAACATCTTGAAGGAGGCATGAGATTCAATCCTAAATCGTCTTTGTCCAACACAAAACGAGCCTTGCTTGTCTCCATATTTCCTGGATTAGAACCATACTCTGGGTGCAATCTTTTCTTGGATTGTAAAGGCACACCAAACAACTTTGTCTTGCAACCATTGTTATTGGCTTCTTCAAGAATGGTCAAAGAGCTCTGTGAAGTATTTGTAGGAGAGTTCAGAACATGAACTTGAGGAACTTGCTTAGGGTTAGTTGGAGCAGTTGTAGGATAATACCCAAGAATCTGGTTTAAAGGCTTTTGTACTAGAGAACCATTAGAGGTAACAGGGTTAGTAGTGGCATATGGTGATGGACCGCAAAGAAGCAAAGAAGAAGAGTAGGAATTGCTGGGAGCAACAGGCTTCACATGATTTTGGACAAAGTAAATAATATCATTGTAAAGCTTTTTCATGTGCGCAAGTTCAGACATTAGCATATTGTTGCTTCTCCTTAGTCTTTCGTTGTCTTCTGATAAGGCAGAGACTGAGCTATTATATCCACCTCCACCACCAATAACTGTGGCACTAGCAACTCCTCCTCTTGGTGGTGAAGAGAGAGGAGGTGAATCACACCAGTTGTTGTTGGCTTGCTCATCTGAATCAGATGGAGAGATGCTGGTTCTGCTTGGAAAAGGAAAGAAACTGGGTCCAGTAACACCGAAAGGAGAATGTGGGTGGTGCTGATGATGGTGGTGCTGATTAATAGCTACTTGTGGCTGAGCTGTTTTCCTTCTATGGATTTCACAAAGCAAATGCTTTTCTCCCTTCTTGAAAAACTCATTAGCAAACTCCCATCTGTCAGGTACAATCTTCCTAAAACCCTAATGCACCAAACACCCAAAACAAACCCAAATCAGTATAACCAAAAAAAAAAAAAAAAAAAAAAAAGGAGCAAAAGCAAAGACGCAAACTTTTAAAGAAAGGACATGGAATAAGAGGATTTGCAGTTATATTTACATAGGTATTGAGTTGCCTGACAAAGCTAGAGAAGTTGTTATGCTTGAAATAGTTAGGAAGGAGATCGCGAGCAAACTCAGGTGGCCTCCAAACAACGAAAGTAGTGTCATCTTCACCCCAAGAAACTATGTGGTCAGTGGCTGGATCATCTACCAGTTGGTAGGTTTTGGTAAGGAATGGAGCTGGGACTGATTTGTGGGAGTCTAATGAGAGTAATATGCCCTCACAGTTATCAAGCATAAGAGCCATTAGAGATCAAAAGTGCCTGCTATTTTTGCAGAGAGAGAGGGAGAGAGAGAGAGAGAGGTGTAAGAAAAAAACAGTGAGGGTTTTGGCTTTGATAGGTAAGGACTAAGGAAGAGAGCGTGGATGTGGTAATCTGAAACTTGGGAGTGGGTGTGGATAAAAATGTTGGAGGGGAGAGGGTGCTTTTATGTGTCTGTGTGATACAGTAAAATAAGTTGTTGTTTTATGTTTTATTTTCAAGTAAAAATCAGGAGGTTGAATTGACAATGTATAGTATTTTGTTTCCCTCCTCGGTTCTGTAGTGAGAGAGAATATGTGTCTGTCTGTCTAGGATTGTGAAATAAGGGCCTTTCAAGACAAACCCGTGACCTCTCTTTCTCTCTCTTTGACATTCATACCCGCGCACAGCCACTTAAAATCAGGCACAAGAGGATGGTGCAGGGCTGCCCTTTTGAATTGACAATGCCACCCTTCTCTTTTCTTTTGCCCTTTCTCATCATTTTTACTACTTGCAATTGATTATATAGTCAAAAACTTCATTACTGCTATTCGATACTTGCCTCATGATTTCTTTTCTTCTTCTTTTTTCTCTGGATCTTTTTTAACACACCTTCTTTTGGTAGTTTTAATTAACTGCACAGTATATTTCCTTAACTGTAGTTTTTGCCTCATCTATAGATCTTCTTTTGATAAGCTTGTTAGGCACATTTCTAAGATTTTGATCAAGTTAATCAAAAGCAAAGAGCATTTGATATATTTTTTTCTCTAATCAATTTAATTGCAAGTTTTAGTTTATTTTCTTCTTCTAACTGGATTCAAGTTACTGTAAAACTTTAGCAATATGGTAACTGATTCGAAGTTGAGGTCTTAAGAATTGAATTGCCCGAATTCAAATCCCTCCGTCCAAAAAAAAAAAAAAAAAAAACAAAAAAACAGAAAAGTTGTAAAAACAAAAAGTAGTTCTTCTTCTTCTTTTTAAATTAAAGAAACAAATAGGATTGGGCTATCATTTCTGTACTCCTTTTACAATAAGGTATAAAGACTTGCATTTCACTGCTACCAGGAAAAAACGAAAATGAAAAAGATATAGGAGTCAATAGATCCACCTTAGAAGTTATAATAAAATGTCTTTTAAAGTGCCTTTTTTTTTTTTTTTTTACTAGTCAATACTATTCTCAATCAACATTATTAAAAAATTATTTCAATCTAAAAATTAGATTATTAATGAATTTTTAAAATATAATTTCTTTCAACTCTTGAAATCTGTAAAGGCTGCTATCTTATGCTAATGTGTTATATTTTTAATTAAAAAAGAAAATGCAGATAGTGAGATTCGAAATATATGTATCCAATTAATTATTTGGTCAAATACATATATTTAATCATTTCAATCCAAAATGTTAAATTATTGGATGAAGTCTCAAAATATATTTTATATTATCCCTTTCAAGTCTTGAAATTTACAACCAAAAAAAAAAAAAACTCACACTACCTTATGCTATTATATTATATTTTTAATTAAGAAAAAAACGAGGACAATGAGATTTCAAATACATGTATCTAATTAATTAAGATACATGCAATAAATAATCATATATGATCAAGTTTAGATGAGAGATTTAGGTTAAGGCTATAAAATGAAGATATAGTACTCTCTCCATCTCTTAATGAAAAAATACTTCATATGTCTTAAAGTGACGATCCCTTTAACTTTTCACTCATTTTAAGAAAAATAATTATATTGCCACATCAATATGTTTTAACAATATTTTTCTAAAATACTTTTTTTAAGGAAAAAAATTTATCCAGTTTAATCCTGCATTAAAATATTCCTAAAATTTTGACAATTCTTGTAATATTTTAAGCCAAAAGTTAAGGGAGCAAATTAAAATTTCATTATTTCTAAATTTGAGGTCCAAATTTTTTATAAAGATCTAAAGATTATTTAGCCTACCTAAATTTCTCACCAACTTTTAAGCCAAAGATCTTTTGTCAATTTTTTTTTCATGTAACAAAAAATTTTCTTTTAATATTTTTATGTATTAAATGTATTTATATGTATAGAGAAAAAAATATAAAGAATATTGAATTTTTGTTTTTTTTAATAAAATCGATAATTATATTAATGAAAGAAGTTAGCAAAGAGCTAATGAAAGGAGATTACAGCTAAACTAAGAGTTCAGTAGACATATAGAGACTAGAATTAGCGAAAGACTCAGCTACATAGTTTTTTTTTTTTCCTTCCTAAATACATGAGTTAAAAAACTAATCTTAAACACAAAATTAGATTTGATATGACATTAAAATTAGTCTGAAGCTTCCAGAGTTTATCAGCTGAAAATTTACACAACTAAGAAATAGCAATAGCCAAATCTGACTTTGCAATCTAGTTAACTTAAAGAGCTAAAGGTAAAGCAATATTGATTTCTAAAGCTTTTTGAATAGCGAGAACCTCCACTTCATTTGAATCGGTATGATCATAGCGATCTCTCAAAACAACATCTACACTTAAAACCCTTGATTTTTCCAAAATAAAACAAAAATAAAATAAAATAAAATAAAACTCTCCACATTCCATTTTAAATTGTTAGTTGATAGGTTTATCCAGCTAACTGCAATTTGAGTTTTTATTTGATTAGACTATATCTTAACATCTTTCAAACTTTGATTTTTTATTAGTTTTTAATCAAAACTAAATCCATTACTCTTTGAACTAAACCAACATTAGAACATGTTTAATTTTGTATCCATTACTAAGCTATCTCTTAAATTAAATCAACCTAAATTTAGTGTCAAAAATAGATAATTATGGTTAATTGTTCGTAAAAAATAGAAATTAAATTTTGATCTTAGTCAAATAAAAACACCTTTTTGTTGCAATACCGCACTCATTAATGCTTAAATTTAAGCACTTCATCCTTTATAAGATTTCAAATATTAGAAGCATTCTAAATTTCTGATCGAAGCAAGAGCATTGCTATCATACCAGTAGCATTGATTATTACGAGGGGACTAAATCTAAGTTCTTCTTGGTTGAGATTTCAAGTTGGTGCATTACTAATAAATTACTAGCATGGCTGAAAGGGTATTGTGGTCATCAACATTTTTAGTGTGTTCAATAACAAGAGAAGAAATGGAGACGAAGGTGATTTCACGCTTTCACTTCACGTCAAACCGATCGTCTCTTTTTCATTTTGTAGCTTTCCTTTTGTTGTTTAATATTCCCAACCCAACACACACACACTCCAATTTGGAATCCCCATCATTTTCTAATACTCTAGCCAGCATATATATAAGGTAAAGGATACATCGAACTACGTGATGGGATTTAAAGCCTGTTTCGTGGTGACGACATTTCTTCTTCTTCCTTCTTCTTCTCCTCTTCTATTGCTTCTATTCAAAACTTTCTTTCTCGTTATATTACAAACTTCAATATCGATATCATAATACTAGACATGCTCTGCGGCCACTACTACCTTTACTGACTAACTTACAATTATATTCATAGCTCTTTCACTCTCTCTATCCCTACATACTAAGCTGCCCTTTTACCCCTCTATAGTATAGTAGATTTGTAGTAGTCTATGTATGCTTGGAGCCTCCAACTTTGGTCCTTTCGTGGCTCGGCTTCCTTGGTGACGTGTCTCAGGTGATTGAATTATTGGCCCCAAAAGTTTCTATTAATAACTGAAAAGTTAACAGCTTTTTTCTTTCTTTTTTGTAATGGCCCAAGAAATATTTGTTTTTATATGTAATCTCTCTTGCTAGCTAGCTTTCACCTTTCAAGAAATCAGGCAGAGAACATTCATGCCTTTGAAATTAAATAATGACATATATCTGTGAGCTAGCAACATCTTAGTAAAAAGCAGCACAAAATGAATGAAAATATATTCACGAAAGGAAAAAGGAACTCAAGTTTTACTGCTACAAGTGTCAAAATATGAACAAGATTGCAAGAAAACCATTGCAATGAGTGGGTACCGAAGGATCCAGCACATAAAAAGTGAGAAATGGATTCATTTCGTGATGAGTGACAGTAAGGGTAGGGACACAGGGAGGTCCAAAGCGAAGCAATAGGAAAATGATGACTAATTATTTCACATAGATACTCTAGCTGATTATTTCGATCATGTCTGTGATTCTCATTATTGGAAAAACAAAGTTAAACTGTCATGGTTCCCCACCCATGTATAATTCCTCCCTTTACAATTTTTTGGAAAATTCAATTCTTATATTGTTAACTACCTTAAAAAGTCCTTGAAATTCAATCTAATCTTACTAAACAAGACAAACATTTTGCATTCCTTCCCCATCACCATCTTATCCTTCTACATCCTTCATATTTTATTCCCTTTTGACTAGGATCCTATTTGTTGTCCTATGTCATAAAGAAATATTGCAAAATAAATAAATGAATGAATATATAAAATCCTATCTAAGTAAATTAACCGAAATAGCAAGAAAGTTTAGAACAATTAATTGTAAAGCTAATCAGCGGTTCACTTATAATTGACCAATTAATGGTACCATTTGAATAAAAAATAAAAAAATTACGTTACTGATATTTAGAGGTTAAAAAAACAATTCACCTGACTGAAAAAATGCCACGAAAAATCAAGAAACTTCATGTACATGATAGCCAATTTGTAATGCCAAAGGAAACTTAATTAACTCTGTCACATGAATGATCGTTACCTAGTTTAAGTTGTCAAATTCCAAAGCAATTAATCGATCACATGATGAATAGTCAGTAGTGACGCGAACAAATATTATAGAATAGAAAGGTTGCATGTGACATTAATTCTTTTTATCCCTCTTTGCATAGACGATTGTGAAGAAACTAGAAATTGATAAGAAGAAATGTCAGTTCGGAGTCCCGATATTCAATTAAAATGGGAAATACTCTCTCCTTAGTCCGAGAAGAACATCGTCTAAAATTTCCTATAATCTTCTCTCACGGCTCTCTCTTTCTGTGTCTGTTTGTGTGTTTGTCTTCTTGTCTT